CACAAAAACAAGACAGAGCAAAACCAAGCAACAATATACAACAAAACAACAAACCAATGACAAAAAAAAACACACAATAAGAAAGAAAAGCTTGTAGTTAGTTCAAGGATCGTTTGTTGACCTTTAGGAGTGTTTTCCAGTCCAGTCTGTTGCACCACGCCCTGGCCCCAAAGTCTACCTTCAGCATTCCCTGGGGACCTTGCCACTCCGTTCTCTTGCTCTTCTGTTGCACTCCCTTAGTGTTTTGCCTCAGTGTATAACATCATTTTATAATGCAATTAATTATATACGAATTTTCCAGCTCTGTGAATGTATTTTTAGCTAAGTGATGTTTGGAGCTTTATAAATCCTCATTCTTCCTAACAGGGGCTGTAAACACATAATAGGAGTCACTTCCAATTCTCCTGGAGCCTTGAGATTACTGTCAGTTTTGACAGTGATGATGAGATTAAGTATTCATGGGAGGGGTTGTCTTCTCTGGGGATACAATCTGATCAGATGTCCATACAGGCTCTCTCAAGAGAGAGTGACTCAGAAGTGCCACAGGGACAGCTATTAGCCTTTGCCCTCTGGTTCTAGAGTTAGCCACAGACAGGCTCTGGGTCCTTGATCAAGTTCATTGTGAGCAGAGGTGGCTCCTCCTGCGGTTTACATTGCTTTTGTTTTGTGTCCTGTGCCAACAGGAAGAGAAAAACAGGTGGGGCCACAAGATTTAGCTTTGAGGACATATCTCATCGTCTGACTAACTTAGCAGATTTTAATAAGCAGCTGATATATGTCTGCTAATGTGGTGAGCCCAATGAGTATCATGAAAACCAGCATGCAGTCCGTGCCTACAGAAAGTTGTGGGGTTAGCAGCAAGATAGCATTAGAAGGGATGTGATTTGGAAGGTGGTTGGATGACAGGTAGTCAGTAAAGATAGGGTTTAGTGCCTGGCACCGGTGGCTCTTTCATGTAGCCTGGTCCTCTCTTCTTACTTACTCAGTGTCTTCCCTGTAAGCACAGTTCCTGACAAGTGGTACCAAAAACAAACAAACCCCAAAACACAACTGCTGTCGAGTCAATTCCCGCTCATACTGACCCTATAGGACAGAGCAGAACTGCCCCTGTGGTTTTTCCAAGATTGTAACTCTTTACAATAGTTGAATGCCAAGTCTTTCAGTATCCAATCATTCTAAGCAAGCATATAAGGGTTTAACTAATATGATTAAAAAATCCTTTAACCATTAAGGGAAGCAGGATATTTGGGGTATGATTTTACACCCTTGAAATTGATGTCACTGAGAACAAACATGGTTTCTCAAAACACATACTGTTAGGGATCAAATTCTAAGCACATCTTAGCTATCTAATTAAGTCATTTTTGTTTATTAAATGCTTAGAGATTTTCAATCTACATGGGATAAAGTACATGTCTGTTTCCTTTTTAAAAGAACTTGAGTTTGTTTTCACACTCACTGTCATTGAGTCAATGTCGACTTCTAGCAACCCTGTTGGACAGGGTAGACCACCTGCCCTTGTGAGTTTCTGAGACTGACTCTACAGGAGTAGAAAGCCTTGCCTTTCTCCTTCAGATTGACTGGCGGTTTCGAACTCTGCTGACCTTGTGAATGCAGCCCTACTCATAACCACTAAACCGCCAGGGATCCTTCAGATTGTTTTAGGGTGGTCTAATTTGTCTTCAATCATTCGTTTATTCATTCCTGCTTCCAACAGGCATGTTCAGTGTTTACCATGACATGAGTCTGCCATCATTTGTTCCATCCTGGGACCAATCACACAGCCAAGCCATCAGGTTAATCCCAACTCACATATAAATAGTGATACATGTTAAGGAGGAGGTGTGTGAGGTAACTAGTTTTCCTCAAAAGATTCTGGGTGAAGTGTGAGTGGTTGCTGTCTGTGGTGAGTCTGGGTGGAAAGCTATAGCGAGGGCTCCAAACCAGGAACACCACCAAGCTCCTCAGAGAGCTGTGTTCAAAGCTCTCGGGGAAGAACCATGCTCATTGGCATCGAGTCCATTCTCATGAAACTCGGGAGACTCTAGGCCAGGGAACTACTGTGACAGGAGTGTTGGGAGAAGAAGAGGGTCTGGAACAACATCTTAATCTGAAGTTAGCATGAAGAAGCATGTAGTTTGTGTCTCTTAAGGCTCCCTCCCAACTATAGCTATGGATTGTCTTTCAGTGTGTGATCTACTTCACTAAGGGGCTGTGAGCACATCAGTAAAGAAGAAATGGGTTTGATCCCTTAGGGTTGGTCTGTGAAGGAGCAGTCTGGCCTAGTCATCTAGCTGAAGCACTCTAGGAGAGTTATCCAGGAAGCAGTGGCCTGTTCCAACCAGGAAGTGTACTTTAACCTTATTCCCCAACTCTTCCTCAGACACACTGGCACACAGACACACACATTGTCACCGCTTGCAGGGGGCCGGGGGATGGGGGGAGGGGGGCACAGATGACAACACTAAATGCATTGTTTTGAGATTCATTGAGAAAAAAACTTAAGTGGAATGTCACTTTCAACCTCTATGTTCCTGTTTTAATTTAAATTGTTGGGCCTGAGTTTTACTTCCTATTTTTAGCTAAAATGTTATTTGGTAGAACTAGAACTCTTACCTTCTAATATATAAGTGGCTGTCTTTGCTACTAATGTATTATAATGCAGGCCTTATTTATAATATAAAAAATAGCCTTTTTTATATCTTAAAGCATACAAGTTTTATGTAAGAAGGGTACATTACTATAGCTAGTTTTAATAGTACCTTTTTATTTTAGTTAAAATTTAAACATAAAACATTTCTTTTTCTCTTTTTAAGAAAACTGGTGATTTATTTGCTATCAAAGTATTTAATAATATAAGCTTCCTTCGACCAGTAGATGTGCAAATGAGAGAATTTGAAGTACTAAAAAAACTGAATCACAAAAATATTGTCAAATTATTTGCCATTGAGGAGGAGGTAAGTAGTCAAACTTTAATTACTGTAATGATTATGTTTTTAATAGTTAATTAAAAATAGTTATTGATTGAGGTACATAGCATAATAAAAAATTTAGTTTAAGAATAAAAGTCAAAATTAGGACTTATACAACAGTTTGTATTCCTTACAGATTCATGGACATAAAATGAAAATAAAGTATAAGAATGGAATCAGAAAAAGTAGCCTAAGAAATGAAAGGTATAGAATATGGCTTCTCATGTTAT